AGAAGAAAAGAAATGTCTTGGAAATGTGCCAAAAAACTATCGTCAGCATCACACATGATTATGTTCGATAGGGTTCAATTCTTTCTCATCTTCTTCCTCGGCGATGCAAGAAAAAATGCGCTTTAGCGCCAAGACCATCGAGAAAGCTTTTTTCTTGCTATTTTTGCGCCTTGAAAAGTTCTTCATCAACTGGTAGATAAAAATATAACTGAGATGATGTCAAAAGCTCCTGAGTCATAGATATACAAACCCAAAAAAGCTTCTGGACATTCGAAAATATATCAATTTAATAAAGTGGAAATTGGGGGTAATAAAGTAGGGGGGGGGAGGTACGGGAGTGAAAGTTGACTTAAGACAATTCCAGTCATTTTAAAGTTAAAATTTTCCAGCATACAACTATTCAATTTAGTATTTATGCTAGTGAACCAATGATCTAAAGGTACCATTTTGTTCGCTCCGGGACCCGCCGCGGCTTCCCGCCATTTGATGGTTTTTGAATTGAATTTGAATTTTTGAATTACGATTCTTTATATGTTCGATTTCTCCGATTTTGACTTTATTGGATATTGAAAGTAACAATCAATTTCAACATTGAAGTAAAACAGTACCGAGCCTTGTTTTTAGTTTGTTAATTTATTCTTCTTCTTCTTTTCCGTACAAAGGATTGAAAAAATTTCTTCTAAAATTTCAGATCCTTTCCATAAAAATTATCTTCTCAAAATTCAAAATCTTCTCTGCTTAGACAAAGCCCAAGTTGCGCCGAGTTGCCCTTTTTCATTGAAAAACCTGTTGCGGAAGTTCTGGCGTGAATTTACGATGTAGCCCTTTTTCCGTGCTATTTTCACGCTTAGTCCACGATAAAATTCATCAACAACCTCTGGCCAGATTGATTAGAATCTAATTTGATTTATTGAACGCGGCAGTTTATTTAATCTTTGATTTTTTAGATACTTTTCATCGGCTAATGAAGAATCCAGGATCCGATGCGAAGATGAATGCGAAGAAGTGAGTTTTTTAACAGATCATTCTCTTTTGTCCAAGAATTTGTTTTGGAGCGCGTTTTTTACGTGTTGATTTTTCTTTTTAGGTCTATTTCTCATTCTTCACTTATGGAAAATGTATAGGAGACATCTTTGGCAAGTTGCCAAGAGATCAACAACCAGCCTGCAACCTTCGATGTGGAGTAAGCAATTTCTCCTTGGGAAAACTGGACCTATGCGTAATTTTCCCAACTTTTTTCAGGTCCGACCACGACTATGGACTTCAATTGGAATTTTCTGCGTTTTCGCAGCTTCACTAGCCACTTTGCTCTTCACTATACCAATGTGTATCGCAACTTGTGCCAGCTGTCTGCACGCCAAAAAGGTGGGCAAAATTTTAGCGACTTGGCAGTTTTTTAGCATTTTCTGGCAAAGCATGGCACTTACAATACCATCCGTAATTTGTGAAAAAAAATGGCGGCGGCACTTAACTTACGCGGCGCCGCCGAAGTTAGGTGACTTTTGCCGCGTCGCGCGGCAAAAGTCAGCGGAAAAGCGGCCAAAGTCACCTAACTTTGTCGCGCAACGCCGCGCAACGCCTAACTTCTTTATAGAAAAGACCTTATCTTGATCCAAAATTTATGAATTCTATATATAAGAGTACCATTCAACTCAGCTCGACGAGGCGCATCTTCCAATATACGGATGTGCATAGTTGTGGGATATAAGTTTCTTTCCTGGAATTTTAGTGTAAATGGACCATTCAGTGTGCTTATTCCAGAGGCTACGTACACATTCTATTGAGCACAGCAGAAATAGGGCAGGTATAGTTTAAGAGCTCATTCTGCATGGATATATGTGAAACTGGGCAGCTCATTCTGCATGGATATGTGTGAAAGTGGGCTTTTCTCGGCGAAGTATGACGGGTCCCAAAATGCAAGAAGACAAAGGGAAATGGTTGGAAATCGCATGAGAAGCACATATCGCGGAATGCCGCGCGTGCTGTGCAATGTACAATACCACTCACAGAGGGAATTGCGCGAAATTCCAGAAATTTCGCGATTCCGGATTATCGCAAATTATGCAGCGCCATAACTTCCTTCGGAATTAATATATTCTAAATTCGAAAGCAGCACTGTGTTCATCTCGTCAAGGCGAATCTTTCTACATACGTCATGTCATCTATATCTTGTTTTCAGTTTTCTCAAATTGTTCTGAGGAGGTCCCTTTGCAAGTATGTAACGCAGCGCCTATCCAACTTGAAAGCTTCCAGTAAGCACCATTCGATAGTGCTCTTCCTGTACATTATAGTGCGCTAGGAAGCTGCCGCAGACTTCTTTTCAAAAGAGAAAAAAGCGTTGGTAAATTCTGGAAAAATCACTCGTTTCCAGATTCTACTCGTCGTAACTTTCTTTGGAGTGGATATTTTCTGAATCCGAAAAATGCATTGTGCTCAGCTCATCAAGGCAAATCTTTCGGTATGCAGAATGTCCTTGATATCTCGATTTCAGTATTCTCAAAACTTTCTGCGGACGTCTCTTCGCAAAGGTGTGAAGCAGCGCGTATTGCCCCCAGTACATTCAGAAAGAAATTTTCGATAGTACTTCTTTTGTAGATTATGGAGCGCTAGAAAGTAGCCGCACACTCCTTTCCAAAGGAGTTAAAAGGGCTGGTGAATTCTGGAAAAATCATGTCCTTCTAAATTTTTCTCAACGTAACTCTAAAATATGAAGCTCTCTTGCTAAGCAGATGTGATTTTCGTAACCAGCAGGTCGGATAACCCTTAAGCGCAAGTTTTCCAAGATGTTCAAGTAATTTCATTTTTTCTCGTTTTACGCTCTGAAGCTGGCCGATGGATTTTGGTCAAAATGTTCATGCTCTTAAATTGTAAGGAAACTTCGCTTATAGAGGTTTTCGAACACGCTCTTTACGAAAATCGTGGTCTTTGAGGATTACAGGGTCTTTTTGGTGAGATACGGTGAGGTGACTGTAACTGCATCACGAAAGTGCGTAAATTGGCCCCCACTTCCCGCGTATCTGTCAGCAACCTTGCCTGCTTGCTTTTCTCAGTCAAAGTTACTAGGAACTGCGCTACCGAATGGTGCATGAATCAGGCTCCAGTCTGTAAAAATCACCGAGTTACGAGCCTATGAAAACACGTCCTCATGAATTTTGCCCAAAATCTAAAGATCGCAAATCTCGTCGAAATTCCACCGTGAGCGCTTGTACAACACGCTGATCAAAATCTTTCGCGTCCTTAATGGATCTTATTGTGTTAGATTTAGTAGTTTGAGTTCTAGCCACTGAAATAGCTCTGATATTCAACTGAGCAGCTGAAGCATATGCAAGTACCATATTCAATACAGTGGGAGTTTTTGGGCGAAGCGAACACAATATCCGCAATGCGAGTGTCATACAAGCGCTCACGGTGGAATTTCGACGAGATTTGCGATCTTTAGATTTTGGGCAAAATTCATGAGGACGTGTTTTCATAGGCTCGTAACTCGGTGATTTTTACAGACTGGAGCCTGATTCATGCACCATTCGGTAGCGCAGTTCCTAGTAACTTTGACTGAGAAAAGCAAGCAGGCAAGGTTGCTGACAGATACGCGGGAAGTGGGGGCCAATTTACGCACTTTCGTGATGCAGTTACAGTCACCTCACCGTATCTCACCAAAAAGACCCTGTAATCCTCAAAGACCACGATTTTCGTAAAGAGCGTGTTCGAAAACCTCTATAAGCGAAGTTTCCTTACAATTTAAGAGCATGAACATTTTGACCAAAATCCATCGGCCAGCTTCAGAGCGTAAAACGAGAAAAAATGAAATTACTTGAACATCTTGGAAAACTTGCGCTTAAGGGTTATCCGACCTGCTGGTTACGAAAATCACATCTGCTTAGCAAGAGAGCTTCATATTTTAGAGTTACGTTGAGAAAAATTTAGAAGGACATGATTTTTCCAGAATTCACCAGCCCTTTTAACTCCTTTGGAAAGGAGTGTGCGGCTACTTTCTAGCGCTCCATAATCTACAAAAGAAGTACTATCGAAAATTTCTTTCTGAATGTACTGGGGGCAATACGCGCTGCTTCACACCTTTGCGAAGAGACGTCCGCAGAAAGTTTTGAGAATACTGAAATCGAGATATCAAGGACATTCTGCATACCGAAAGATTTGCCTTGATGAGCTGAGCACAATGCATTTTTCGGATTCAGAAAATATCCACTCCAAAGAAAGTTACGACGAGTAGAATCTGGAAACGAGTGATTTTTCCAGAATTTACCAACGCTTTTTTCTCTTTTGAAAAGAAGTCTGCGGCAGCTTCCTAGCGCACTATAATGTACAGGAAGAGCACTATCGAATGGTGCTTACTGGAAGCTTTCAAGTTGGATAGGCGCTGCGTTACATACTTGCAAAGGGACCTCCTCAGAACAATTTGAGAAAACTGAAAACAAGATATAGATGACATGACGTATGTAGAAAGATTCGCCTTGACGAGATGAACACAGTGCTGCTTTCGAATTTAGAATATATTAATTCCGAAGGAAGTTATGGCGCTGCATAATTTGCGATAATCCGGAATCGCGAAATTTCTGGAATTTCGCGCAATTCCCTCTGTGAGTGGTATTGTACATTGCACAGCACGCGCGGCATTCCGCGATATGTGCTTCTCATGCGATTTCCAACCATTTCCCTTTGTCTTCTTGCATTTTGGGACCCGTCATACTTCGCCGAGAAAAGCCCACTTTCACACATATCCATGCAGAATGAGCTGCCCAGTTTCACATATATCCATGCAGAATGAGCTCTTAAACTATACCTGCCCTATTTCTGCTGTGCTCAATAGAATGTGTACGTAGCCTCTGGAATAAGCACACTGAATGGTCCATTTACACTAAAATTCCAGGAAAGAAACTTATATCCCACAACTATGCACATCCGTATATTGGAAGATGCGCCTCGTCGAGCTGAGTTGAATGGTACTCTTATATATAGAATTCATAAATTTTGGATCAAGATAAGGTCTTTTCTATAAAGAAGTTAGGCGTTGCGCGGCGTTGCGCGACAAAGTTAGGTGACTTTGGCCGCTTTTCCGCTGACTTTTGCCGCGCGACGCGGCAAAAGTCACCTAACTTCGGCGGCGCCGCGTAAGTTAAGTGCCGCCGCCATTTTTTTTCACAAATTACGGGTGGTATTGTATATGGTGCCAGGCAGTAATTTATCAATAACTTGAGCACTTTTTCATATCGGGAAAGGGGAAGAGGGGGTGTTTTGCGCACGGGTGTGGCCCGTCTAAATCGACGACCGGGAACGACCTTTACAGTGAATTGATAGTTCACTTCTCTATGTTGACGAGGTCATTAACGAATTGAAGCGCCCGGAATCGTCGCGAAATGTCTGACTCCCTTCTCTGTTTATGCCAAATCACAAACAGCGACATGCTGATTTATGCCTTAACTCGCTACTAGGGCGTGCCCCGGGGAAGAGAATTCTTGGGGTGTTGGCCGGGGACGGAGGGACCTCAACTCACCTTGGCGACAGATCATACGAACGTTTTATCGAGGGGACGAGAGATAAGTGACAGAGATGGTCACCAGATAGACATCTACACAGCGTTCCGAAGGGTGCGCTCCGTACGCCATCTACACCCCTAAATTACTACTTGCGAAGATTGTTCGAGGGGGGAATAGTGGGGTCTTATGGGGTCAGCAGGAAAGAATCAGTGATTTTTATACTTTCTAATTTAGAGGAGATTTTTTTTGAATAAATCTCGGAAATCTTATGCATTGTTAAAAAATACTGTACACTAAAAAAAAGCTGTTTTCAGCCAGATTTCGACATCCATATTTCAACGATACTTTAGTTTCTTTCAAGCATAGCGCGAATCGCGATGTCCCAGAAATTGTGGTCCTCTGTTTTCAGATTCCTTATGTGATTAGCCAATTTAGCTATTTTTGATCTATTAATTTAGTCATAAAAGACTTTTAGAAGGCAGCGAAATTTGGTTCTGCAGGCGAGTTTAAATGAATTATTGATTACATTAGTTGTATTTATAATGATTTATTGAATTAGAAGATAGTGATTTTTGCACTTTTTGGGATTAGCGTAAGGTTTTGAGATGTGCTGGCTTTTCGTTTACTCGTTGCTTCTAGAAATTTCTACTTTTTAGCAACGCTGACAGCTAACTGACTAAAGTAGTTCACTATTGCAGAAGCTTCTTATTCAATTGAAATTGATCGAAAATAGATCGATTTTGTGGCACATTGAACCTTAATCTCATTGATGTCTTGATACTTGTTCTGTCCTTCATCAAGACGTAAGAGCCATTGACGTTGTTTTTTCTGGCTGCTTCGAAAAGCTGGACAGCAGCGCATTTTCTCAAGGTCGAACAACTTTTAGCAAATTACAATGAGTGGCAGAGCCTTAAGAGTTTCATTAGAACCGTGTCAAGGTAAGTGTAATTTGTTTTGTTCAGAAAAAACCCTAGTAAATCCATTCTAACTAACGGGGTTAAGAAGATAATAGTCTTTAGCATAGTACCAGTAGAACAAAAAATTTTCTAAAAATGAGATTTTGGGGTACAAGAAATCTATGATTTTTTTCGTAACTTTACAAAATTGTTTTCGACAATTGTTTCCGCCCAAATGAGGTCGTCAGTATTCACGAGCGCATTCCATCACTGTCTCATCTCAACACAAATTCCTATCCTATCACATATCACCAGGGCTCCGCGCAGCAAATATCACCATATCTGTCATCACGACGGCATAGAGAATTAATGAGTGCTGAAAGGACACTTATATTTGGGTCAAACCATATCAAAAGACATATTCAGTCGCATTTGCACAACATCAAGGTCATAAGCTATCATTAGAGGCACATAAGTCCAAGTCGGCCATTCAGCGTTTTGGATTACGGTAGCATACGGTCTGGGTTGGAGTTTAAAGCTAGATTTCTCGGTCATGAGGGCATCAAATGAGCTGCTTTTTGGACTATAGCTTATTCAAGGCCTCTCAAACAGTTCCCGCTAAGAAACACAGGTAGCCAGACACCTTCTCTCTACCCCCCCCCCCCCCGCCGTCTGCCCTGAGCGCTGCCACACAATGCAATCGCGGCAGAAAACTTTGTTGATATCGAAAACGTTCTGCTGTTTCCGGCAGAACACAACCAGTTCTGCTCTCGTTCGCTCGACAGCAGCAGTCAGCAACGGTAGCAAAGCGGTAAATAGCGGTAGTTCTCTCTTCCGCTCTCGCTCGCTCATTGTCAGGTCTCGTCATACGGTTATCACAATGGGTCGATGATTGCCATCGATGTACTATACAAAAGCGATATTAGCCTATAATTATGGCTGGGTTATTGAGGCAGTCAAGTCGGGGAAAAAAGCCTATCATAGCGCAAAATCCGGAGCGCGAGATAATTCAGGCTAAATGAGCCAAAAGAATTGACTATGTGGCTGATTTAGGCTGTCTCGCAGTACAACATTGAAGGGGAGGGAAGTTCCTCGTCTGGGGAGGGAAGTTCCTCGTCCGGGTCGAATTCTAAGTTGAGTATATTTTCTGTGTCGCTTATGCCCTAGTAGACGCCCAATATAGCCTTGTCACGTTGTCGACAACATTTGCGCATAAACTATAACAATGCGCGCTCTATGGCTATTTTTTATGCGCAAGATGCAAGCAAATTGCCGCCATTAGCGGGTTTGGCATTTGTTCTCGCGCAAATGTTGTCTTCACAGCAGATGCATTGTTCTAACTCTTAGGTCTACCAGATTATACGGATGCCGAGGCAGAATAGATTGGCGTTCTAGTAAACTTTCTAACTACGTCCGACTTTGTCTGCGACTCAAAGGCGTCAAAGCCGCGCCGCTTCAGTGTACGTGACACACGCATTATCTGCGTCGGTTTTTTTAAGTGTAGAATTTTTTCTATTCCAACTTTGAGACCCTTTGAAACGTCTTAGAACATACTCAGAGGTAATTTTTGAGTTGTTTGAAGCATAAATTTTAGGATAGAAATTTATGGAAATATAAAATGCTTTCTATTGAATTTTTATATTTTTTTTATTTTACCATTTTCAGGCAAACAAGAACGCTAAGCGAGTGATGATGGAGCAACAGCAACAACAACAACCGAATAAGGATCAACAAGTAGCCACTATGGGCTACAACCCTTACGCTTATTGGCCATACTACGGACGAGCGTAAAAAGCCCGCGCAAAATAGAGAGTATAAACGGACGTTTGTCACGCGCGATTCTAACTGATCTATTTGAACGATTTTTTTCTGTATAATTTTTTTTATTTTTTGTAGTTAGTAATGTCTATAGGTGCTATATTTCAACGCTTTTTTCTGGAAAAATGGTAGATAACGCATGACAAACGTCATTTTTGACCTGACAGAGAGCTCCTTTACAAAGTGCCTTTTTCCTACGTCGAAAAGCTAGGCCCTATTCCCCCAATGTGAGCATCTCATCGTTTCCTACTGCATTTTGCTTAGGATTATTCACACACTCTGAAGCGCTCTCCTCTTCCATTTCGCTCTACCATTTCGTATGTACTTCGGGTACGCGCGCATTTGCTCCTCGACGCTTGCCAAACGTGATTTTTCGCCCCGTCGATCGTCTTCAATTTTTTTTCATTTTCTGAATTTTCTCTGCTCTGATTTATACACTTACAGAGAGTGTGTATGTTTTGTGTCCATAACTCTACCCGATTACTTATACCATATTGACAATCACTGCCCAATCTCAGGCCAGATGTATTTCTAGATTATTATGACTTTATATGAAGAATTCTCTCGTTTCAAGTTTTCACTTCGAATAAAGATCTTATGTATGAGACATGCGATAATGTGTGCTACTTTTCATAGTGTCTTTGCGACATAATTTTGTCGCAATGTCGATGAACATTGTTGAAAACAGCAGTGACACAAATCGAGCGAAATGACACAATTCGTTGAAAAGTCGGGAAGTTTTCTGGAAGTCAGCTGTGCCTGGAAGAGGAAAAAATTGTCACACATCTAATGCACTTCCTCGAATTGATAAAACTGGAACACTCAGATTTGATGTCTGTGATTGAATGTACTGAGGCATAGTGCAGATTTACGCAAATTTGCTGGTTGGTCAATAGCGACTAAGCAAAACATTAGTTGAAAAGGATCATGTCATTTGTTTAGAGAGAGTTTAGATATAGGTCAAGTGACGTTGAGGTTACGAGAGATATGAAGAACAATAATTGTCTAATACCAAGAGACTCGATATGCTTAATAAATTGCCACGCTGGCTTATGTGTGATGTAGCGTACCTCAACTCAAACTTGGGTAATTAAACCCTTTACTTTGAAAACGGTGAAATAAATGCAACAAAGTAACATGAAATATGTAACTAGAAACTACGTAACAAATGAGTGTTAAGGCAAAGGTGATCATGACAGGAATAAATGGCAAAAAATACGTGCGCAAATCAGAGCAAACACAAATTGCTACGATACTTATTAGCTATTCCCTACTCAATACTTGTATTATAGTTTACTTGTGGATCAGTAGGAAAAAGAATACTGAGTAATTGTTGTCATACTTGTCTAGCTACTTCACACTTAGCAGGCAGAGAATACATGAAAAGGCTCAATGCAATACTACTGCACCTAAGATTCGTATATGACCATGCGAGATAAAATGATAAGTAAACGAGGGAATGAAGTCACCGGCACTTAGCCGGCCATGCGACCATTTTCGCTCTCGACTCCCAGTTAGACCTACCTAGCCCACTTTGACTCACTCGGCCGCACTGTTTTTGATGACCTAAAGTGAAATTGCAGGACTGAAGCAAGACATCAAGTAATCTGAAGGCATTCCCAGTGATCTGAAGCTTTTTCTCCGCTGGGGTTCGCGGGACCTCAAAACACTTCACTTCTTAAAGCCCTCACAATTTGTAGTTGATGTCTAAAATACAGGGTGTCCCAAAAAAATGTGCCTACTGTTTGATTGTTAATAACTATCTTGTGGTAAAGCCTTTCGAGAAGCTTTAGGTACCGTTTTGTAGAGCGAGGTTAAACTTAGATTCACAGCATAGAGCGAATCATCGATCGCTCTTCATTACTGTAGGATTACGGTAAGAACTTCCAGCTTATGGAACTAATGTAAAATATACCACCTAATAAAATTTTTTTCAAAAAATCTGAATAATCGTGTATCAAGGTTTTCGCGCATGCTGATTCCACCTAACAACTTTTTATGAGTGTTTTCAGCTTTTTTGACGGTGTAATTACATTTGTGACAAATGCTGGGAACTGAGCTATCACGATTTACCGAAAATAACTTTGGAAAGAGGCTTCATAGTAGAATGAAAATTTCAAGTTCGGAATCAGCGACTTTTATTACCGTAGTATAAGAGTTTTTGGCTTGTTTGGTCTTGTTCCGAGGCAGAATATAGCCTCCAATGGCCTAAAATCCTTGTCGAAGTTCGTACCGTAAACCTACAGTAATGAAGAGAGATAGATGATTCGTTCCATACTGTAAATCTAAGTTTAACCTCGCTCTACAAAACGGTACCTAAAGCTTCTCGAAACACTTCACTACAAGAGAGTTATTTTGAATCAAACAGTAGGCACATTTTTTTGGGACACCCTGTATGTATAAGCTGGCTGCAAACCATCTAACAAGGGAAGGATACCAACATTAGTCGGAGATTGAAGATGAGATGTATATCAGTAGACGCGCCTTCGAACACTGATTCCAAATCTGCTTTCCTTTTTTGCGGAATAGGTTTCCAAATGAGGTTGTGGGCGTTCGAATGTCCAAATTTTTCGAGGTTTAGGTGGCCTAAAATTGGCGAAAAGCTGTACAAAAACACCAAAAAGGAGAAAATCATTTTTGTATCGAGTATACTGTTTGCAAGGAAGGAACAAAGCCGGTGGAAATGGCATAGGTGTTGTTTTAGAGCTTTTAGCTGATTTTAAGGCACTCAATGCTTGGCAAATCTGGACATTCAAACCCGCGTAACTTCTTTCGGAAATTTATTCCGCAAAAAAGGAAAGCAGATTTGAAATCAGCGTTCAAAGGCGCATCTAACGACATACATCTCATCTTCAATTGCCAGCTAATGTTGGTATCCTTTCCTTGTAAGGTACAAATCTTCCGTGAAGAGTGTTGTTGCACATTATGATTGGCGTCCAACGGTGTCTCTTTGCAAATGCAGGCATGCCTATTGTGGCTCGGTCACGGCACTTGAAATCAAATCCTTGGCTGTATACATAACTTTATCCAATAACCTCGAATTTACTAATGCACACATTGAAAAATTTACCATAACTAACTACTGTCTACCACCGCGTAGGGGGAGCCACGATACCTCACGCCACCATGGCTTAGATAAGTTCATTCATTTGGACATACCCAGAGTTTTCAAAAGTCCGACCGCACAACGCCACGTCTTGCAGAACGGTAAGTTCTCTCTTCATTTTTGCATGGCGACTAAGACTGGTAACTACGGATGGTAAACTGTCAGTATGAGTGTGTGTAGAGCGTACTAAAGGCCTGACGAATTATGCCAATCCATCACGGTTTCTAGGGAGGTAGTAAAGTTAACGATGATTATACTTACAACTTCTCCACAATCTTTTTCTCCTTTCACGCTCTTTTTATTCATTTTATCTTGCTGATCTCGCTTTTTGCCTCAAAGCCATGTGTTACACTATGCTAGAGCCTACTTCTGAGAATTCTCTGCAACTGATAGCTGCCATTTCTTTTTGCAAACTTCCCAAACTAGTCAAACTCGCACTCCATGTAGTTTATCCATCAAAAAGAGTGACAAACTTGTGGCAAAAAATATACAAAAGGCCAAGTTCGATGGTCTCGGCTTTAGCACTGTAGTTTAATATCAAGTCCTATCAATGGTTCATGGCATTTGCCTCATTGGCTTTTCAAATGCGAAAGTGCGGTTGTTATATAGCAGTGTCGTCCCCAGGATTTCCGTTCGGGGAGGGAAAGCGACAAATTTTTTTAGGATGAAGGTGCGTGGCGTCAGTTACGCACTCCGAAAACTTTTTGGGATACCTCCCAAGAATTTTGCGGGCCCATAACCCTAAGATTTTGGAGGGGCGTGACGGAAACCACGTCCTCGAAAAAAATTTTATAGAGCTAATTTATATTTTTGATTTTTAAGGATAAGTTCGATCATTTACAAGTATGAAGTAGTGACTTTAAACGATAAACAAATGTCAAAGCATAGATAGAATGTCTATCTTACAAGGGAATGTATATGAATCGCAGTGGTGTTTCCCTATGGGATGTGATCATTGGAAAGGTTTTCGAGAGCTGATTTTGAAACTACCTTCCATATCTGCTTATCGGTTCAATGAACAAAGTTAGATTCAATTCTACTTCCAAATTGCATGGTCAGGTACTCCGTAAATGACCTAAACTCGTGATAAATTCAAATTTGCTCCGAAGTTACATGCTCAAATGTATGAGACCTATTTATTGTCCATAAAAAAATTAATGGTAACAGTTTTGGAGCTACTCTGCCGCATTAGTACTGCGATAAGCAAACAAAATCGCGTCATTTGAGGCCAAACAAATGCCTGTAACTTTATACTTTATCCAGTAAACAGATAAGCAGATATGGAAGGTAGTTTTAAATTCAGCGTATAAAGACCTTTCGAGTGATATACATCTCTTAGGGATACTCCACTGCGAGTCACATATTTTCCCTGTTTAGATATGTCTTATACAGGGTGTCCCAAAAAAATGTATCGAACGTTTGATCGTTAATATCTCTCTTCTGAAGAAGTCTTTTCCCTTGCTTCAGGTACCAATCTGTAGAGCTGGCTTCAACTTAGATTTGCATCATAGAACGAATCACTCATCTCTCTTTATTACTGTAGGATTACGGTAGAAATTTGAAACATATGGTGTCAATGTGGAAAAAGCTGCCGTTTCAAAATCTTTCAAAAAATTGTGAAAACTTGTGTATTGGGGTTTTTATGCACGCCGAGTTCAATACTCAACTATTCACAAAATCACGAAGTTTTCCAAACGGTGTAACCGGACTCTTCAGGAACATTGAAAAAATGGCCCATTACCTCTTATCTGGCATAACTCTCCAATGAAGCATCACAACAAGTTGGGAACTTTACAATTATAAACAGCAACTCTGATTAACCTAGTGTAAAAGTTTTCAGGCTGTTTTGTTTCCTTTCTAAGGCAAAATATGGCCTTTTATTGCTTAAAACCCTCTTTGAAGTTTCTACCGTAATCCTACCGTAATGAAGAGAAATGAGTGACTCGTTCTATAATGCAAATCTAAGTTGAAGCTAGCTCTACAGATTGGTACCTAAATCAAGTAAAAAGACTTCTTTAGAAGAGAGATATTAACGATCAAACGTTCGATACATTTTTTGGGACACCCTGTATGAGTCAAATTTGATTACTCTGGATGCTACAAATGATAAAAGCTTCTTCTTGCGCAACTTCTTGGGCATGAAAAAAATATACGAAGTTGAGATTATTTCACAAAAGTTACTTCTGTTAGTATAGTAGTTTCGCGTTGCAACAATCGACAAACCTTTCAGGTTTCATTTTTCGAGAAAATCTGTGTTGCTTTACAGCAGTGATCAATCAAGTTTGACAATCAGGTCTCAACATGAGTTCATTAATTAGCGAACGAGTCTTTTCTATGATAAGTAAAAGGAGTAGGTTGGTTACAAGACACTAATTCAAGTTCAAGTATCTTTTTCCATGTACTTACCCAACTTAAATTTACAATGAAGATTGTTTCCACTTTTGAAAAGTCTTGCAGTGGCGGATCGAGAGGGGCAGGGCTCGACTGATTGGCGAAATTTTTTTCAAGTTAAAGATTTATGAAAATGTGCAAGTGACTAAATTTATAAACAATTGAGATAACTTTGATTTTTTTAAATTTAAACCCCAAAGAATTTTTTCAGAAGCTGGCTGGCCATGAAATTTCGATGTCATGAGCCCACAGAAAGCTCGGAAAGCATCCCAAAAAGATTTTCGGAATACATCTTTTGAGGATTTTCTTTCGAACGTGACGCCTAACCATACCTTCGATACCTAGAGCCACGTACTCTGGTGACCTTCACTTTGAGCGTCATGATAGAACACAGCCTACACCTAGGGGGAAGCCCAGGATATTATGGCATAACTAATGACATATCCGTATAGGGAGAGATGTGAATGAGGTGAATATAGTAGTGACATCCAAAAGAAGCTCAAAAAACCGAAGGATTACGTTTTTATGGCCCTTTTTGCCAAAAAGACTTTTATTCAAAAATTCAATGAGGAACTGGAGCAAGATTTCTCAATTAATCTTTCTCTAGACTTCGATTGAGTGTTGGAAGTTCATGAAAGCCTGGAGTTCAATAAAAACAAAAAAAACTGCACTCAAATTTTGCGCAGAAAGTCGCCACATAAATGCTGGTCTATCTCATTATGGAGCGATTTTCAAGACCCGCGACGTTGTCAGTGCTCCTGGCCGTCTCATGAGGACCACAATGATATATAATGTTACAGGGTTTCGTTATGATCCCGCGGAGATCAATGACCAGAGCCAAATGCCCCGCCGGCTCTGTTCTGTCTCCGCTGCTCGTCTGCGTCTCCGCGACTTGCGCGCTACCTCGCTACCCCAAAAGCGGGGCGCGGGGCATTTGGCTCTGGTACCCTTTTCTTCGTTTTTGGGAGCCCAATTTCGACAATCTGTATATCAAATTAAAGCTCTTGATCTCTATTTTCACGCTGACAACGTCGCAAGACTCCTTTTTATAGTTTAAACGAGAAATATAGGAAAAACGGAGTTTTCGAAAACCTCTTGTTTTTTCTTCAGTTCAACTCTTTTCACTCGGTTTTTTTGTGTATTCGATAGGTCTTGTTTCTGTCTATAATGTAGACAACGTCGCCGAGCTTACTTCTTTGCTTATGCCGGGTTAAATTGGTGGCAACAGGAACAAAGTTCTTTTCTAGTTGAAAAAAAAGCGTCAGCTGTGGCTGTAGTTGGGAGACCGAAAGAAGGCAAACTTGTCAACAACTAAACTGAACATGTTAAACATGTCTGAAAAGTTATGCTGCACATCGAGCCAATCTGATTTTTCAAAGGACGCGTCAAAAATCAGATTGGCTCGATGTGCAGCATAACTTTTCAGACATGTTTAACATGTTCAGTTTAGTTGTTGACAAGTTTGCCTTCTTTCGGTCTCCCAACTACAGCCACAGCTGACGCTTTTTTTTCAACTAGAAAAGAACTTTGTTCCTGTTGCCACCCAATTTAACCGGCAATTCTGAAGACAAAAATGTGCGTAGGAAACCACCAAGATAAGGTTTTAAATTAGGTGATTTGTTAGCCTCTGTTTTATATGAATTTTTCAAGTTTCCTGGTTCAATTCAAATCTCTAAATTTCCATCAATTTTTTCTAAAACAACCTTCACTTTTTATAGGGGGCAAGAACTCAAACAACTATCACTTTCTAGGCTCTGTCTCTTGACTATCGAAGGTATGCGCCTAACTAAACCATGCCCCAACGCCCAAGCTACATTATTAGCAGACATTATTCATTTACGGAACGGAAACTCTCGTCCAATACCGTAATGAAGATGATAACTCAAAAAATTACGGTACTGGGCAAGTTCAAAGTTCGACATCTCGGCCTCTGAATTCGGAAACGTAACATCAAAATTTCTCTCAGAAACATTTTCGATCACACCACCCTGGTTTTTGAGCCCCAAAATATTTCTTGAGTTTTAGAGAACCCGCCAAAAGCGGATGATGATCGAACATGTTAATACACGAGAACGACAAGCATTGTGTGCATTAACACCTTTTACAAAAATTACCGCATTCACATATAATGGGAACACGACTTGTTTAAAGCCTTCTCTTCGGAATCGACTGCATATTTCTTCTAGACAATATTTCAGCAGAACCAACATGTGAATTTTTTTAAAAGTACAGTCGCGCCTAACAATCTTGTTCAAGATGCATGACCGCTTAGCGTCCACTGAATGATTTATACATCTCTTGTGCGATTCTCGCTCTGAGTAAATAGATGGGAAAATATCGCTCTTGCCCAAGTTTCCATAAGTTAACTCATAACTCATGTCATCTTGTCATATGTAGTGTGGATTCAGTTCTCCGAAGTGGAAATTGGGTTAATGTAGCCAATAAATATTAATTTCTTTCTCAACATTTGAATAAAGAACATCAACCTAATTTCTTCACTTTTCACCTGACCACCTGAAGTTTCAACCTTTATAGCGTTCACTGCCTCAAAAAGTGACATCTATGAGAACACTCAGAGCAGAGAACCAACAGATAAACTTGAACTCTAAGAATGAAGGCGCCAGACCTCCAAGGGAAAATGCAAAGATTTTGAAATTTAAGCTGGATAGGAAAGTCATGCTGCATCTAAAGCTGCTTTCACTTTCTAACATAACCGAAAGAATGAGAATATTTTGTCCTGCTATCTACAGCAATATAATCGGTCGATCAGACTGTTCTAGAAAATTTCCCAATTTCAGATTTTCCTCACTTTGCAGCTCAATAATTTTTCGAGAACATTTGAGAAAATGAATACGCAATAGCTATTCTTCATCCCTAGCATAAAAAAATTAGGTGTTTTAAATTGAGTCTGCAGTGCCACCACTCGCGCGGAAAATTAAAAAAAACGCGGTTTGAATAGAATTGGGTACTGCAACACTCCGCCAGAAATTCATCGAATCATCAAATTTACTTATAAATCAAATTCAACAAATCACCATATTTACCTACAAATTGCAAGGAAATGCTGGGAATTCAGAAATGTTTCAAGCGAATCTAGAAAAATTTCATCCCACCCTCACGATCGCCGGTGCAACTTCTTCCAGCAAAAAGGCCTCTACTCGACATAATAGTTAGCAATGTAGAAGAACTTGGAAGTCTGTTGGATAGGCCTTTGCTTGATCGCGAAGCTCGGTGAGTTTGCGGCCATTGTACACGCACGATGCCGCAAGGCCCCAAACCAGTTAAATAACTCCTGTACTTTTCAAAATCTCCTCAGGTATTTGAAAGCGAGGATATGAGAGCAGAAGCATTTGAAATGAGAAATAAAGCAAGCTCAATGTGCGAGCAATGGCCGCAAACTCAACGGCCTTCGCGATCACGCAAAGAACGTATAGGACATTCCAAAAATGGTGACGATGGTGCGACCGCGCGCGACACGCACGCATCAACAACGACATTTTTTGGTTTCGGTCTCTACCCGAATGGTTGATGCCTCTTTGTATGGATGTCTCGTGCTCCTGTGTGCGCAAAGACCGCAGTCAAACCTATCGTCACGATTTTAAGAAATGACCTATACTTCGGTATCATCTTCAATATGGGTGATCAATCCCTTCATTCTAGACACACAATAACAACAATGAACAGTTGAAAAAGCAACTAATCAATCAATTAACATTTGATCACTAGTAGAATAATAAATGAGATCACTTTTATCAAAGAACTTGTAGGGAAGACAGAACAACCTTAGATTTCGATTATCGGATTGTTCACCTAAGAGGTGCCGCTTTATATAGCCGAGAAAATCCGAATTCCACTCTTTACGTGGTGATTTGTCGCCTAGCTTTTTCCTACTTCGCCTGACTAACCAAGAGGTCATCTCTGGCGGTACTTGGTTAAAAATTCGATTTTAAGCCAAATATGCAGGTGTTCATCCAGAAATCTTGGACGAAGCTTGTAAACCACAAATATGCTTTTAGTGAACACCGTGAAACAATAGAAGTATGCAAGATGCATTACTCATTACCATAATCAACAAAGTAACGCACTGTGATCTCGTGAAGTGAATCACTATAAAGAAAATAAGTCTTGGACAGAAGCTCAAAAAAATATTCTTGGCCATTTCAACTGTGCAAAACAATTTATAATCATCAAAGAGAATAGGAATTATCAACAAACAAGATCAAACATCAAATCAACGAAACATAGCAACAAACAAAAAGTAAAACCATTCACAACTACAAATTATTTTGGAAAGAAATCTAACAACTAACTAGTGAATTGTACACAACAAGTTCAATAATTACAACTAACTAACATCTCCGAAGTGAGTAATCCAAATATAAGCGGAATGCAAACAAAGCTCTCTCACTTTCTGTTTCCGCTGCGTTGAGCATCGTTTGCGCGCGACGATATCGCTCCAGAGTCAAGCGATCGGCAGATGACATATACATCTCTTCTACTTCGGCTATCTGAAGGATAAAAATCAAAGTAAAATCGATAAGGCAAGAAGCCAGCCCACAGACCTGTTGTTTTTTTGTCTCTTCATCAAGGGCTTCATCAGCATTGATAGTTTCAATGATGGATTCCATCTTGACTTGACGGTCAGTCAGCTGACGATGCTCCTTAGCTTCGAATGATCTTCGCAAAATGATATTTCGGAGCACCTAAAATCATATTCAATTTATTTGGTCGTGATTATAACAAAATAATCTAGTAAACTATAAGTAAAGTTTCAAAAACATTATTTGATATAAGTATCGGCAATAAATGCCTTAGACCAACCTACAAAGTACTATAAAATTCTGAAGTATTATAAATGAGCTCACCTTACAGGTATACTCCACCAAACCTCGCACGGTTTGAGGCATATCCACATAATAAAGAACAAACGTTCGAGCTGGTGCAAAATCGTTCGTGCGACCAATAGGCTAAAACACGACAGTCTCAAATTAGCATCTGGTTGCTAAAGTGTGATTGAGCTAACCTTTGTGCTAACATATCCCTCTTCTAACATAGCGTAGAGAAGCTCCCGCGTCTCTTTGCCACTCATCATTGTCAGTTTCTCGATTTGATCTTCTTCAAGATGCCCTCTTTGCTGCAGAAGACGAAAGATTCTAAACTACAGCTATAATATCGATAAATCATCAGTTTATACTCAGCGTACGCGGGACTCACCTCACGGCTCGTGACTCCAGCTGCTCGCGAATCAGGGATTCTATGTGAAACTGGCAGATCTGTTCAACAGCTCGTTCAAAATCTGTAGGTAGTTAAAGTAAAGCTAACAACGATAGAATGTACCTCAAATTCCACGTCAGAATAATTACATACCTATTACGAATAGTCCACCGCCACTATCTCCAGATTTTCGTACAACTCCCCGAGACTCGTCTACCAAAATTCGCAAAGCCTTCTCAACATCTGGTCGTTCAAGTTCTAGTTCGTTCTCCTTCACGCATCGCATAATATCAAAAAGCTGCAATATTTCAAATTGTCCTATCCCACAAGATAATAAGTAGGTTGGTTGGTATTCAGTGGTCAAAAATGGAAAATTAACCACAAAAAAAAACTGCCATTCACGAGTAGACATTTCGGAACGTACCGAGATTGGTGCTGTATTGATCGTCGTCAGCGGCAATGTTCGGATTTCGTTAGCTTTCAGCAATGAACGCACTGTTCGAGTTAATGTCTGCGACGTCTTCTCCAAGCTCTAAAGGACAGGCTCACTTGCGAACTCGAATCAGACTACTCTCAAACCTTGGGTACAAGGAGGTCCAGAGTCATTTCGTCGCGAATATAACGGTCAAATCGCATCCAATTCATACGCCAGTAGATGCCTTCATCTCCCTCGGGTTCAGGCTGTTTTCGTTTTCTCGATTCTCCTGCATCGTCTGGAATTGTACCCAAAATCGTCAAAAAGAATTGGAAAATGTAAGGATTATGCGCATTATGACTAACCGGGTGACCCTTGTAAAATTACTTCCGGCATGATGTACGGGTCGTAAGAAGTCTCAAACTGAGGACAACCTTTCAGAGAAGAAACTACAGGTGGGCATTTGATAATGAACTGCGATTCCGTTAAGCGACAGAACTTCTCTTTCACCTTGAAAACCCTTTGTTTTCTATACAAACATAAAAAATCGAAAAAAAAATAAATATATGGAAGGATAACCAAAGGTGAATAACGAAGTACAGAGCTCACATCATTCAAGGGCTGCTCGAGTCGTTGGGAAACTTTGCGAATGCAATCTGAGCAGGTCAGACGCCCATAGCTGAATAATTCCTCGCATATTGCCTCGGCCAGACCACCATAAAGCGTTTTTACAATAAGGCAGCATCTGTAACGCATTTTTATAGTCTTACTTGGATAACACCGAATGAGCATATAACATAGACTAAGAATCAACAAAAATACGACTGAAAAAATGCATCCTGATGAGATCTCATACCTGGGGGCCTTGGAAAATGCTAGTATTGAACTTCGATCTATAGAATAAAATGTGCGCATAGCTGAGTCGAGTTTGAAGCTCACAATAGAATGTTGTATAAGAATGGCTAATGATTTGCGAACCTGCAAGAAGTGATGCTCTTTCCACTCAAGATTGCAAGTCGAAGTGGACAAATTAGAAGAAGAGAAGACTCACCGTGTTGAACTTCACTTGTCCTCTGAGACGAAGCATAATGGCTGGAAGCGGACCGGCTTCTCTTAAAAGCGCCGCACCAACAATACTAACAGTCTTGCCAAAGTGCTCTTCCAACAACACTTGGCATAGCTCGGACTCAAAATGCCCGGCCATCTATAAGAATACTAGTGCTTAAAGGTTACTGTGCAAAACTGCAGCGCTTGTTTACAAAGACTTGCAGTGCGAAATAATTGAACAAGCATCGGCAAGCATTTTGGACATTTCAAACATTTTTTTTCCACATTCACATAATGAAGGCCCCGACACCGCACTGAATGTATCAAACAACAAATGTAAAAAATTTATGTCGAAAGACAAAGATCTTCAAACAAAAATGTGTAGCAAGTTATAACAACAACGAGTAAGGATAACAATCAAAATCAACAATGGAATCCGCTTACGTTCTTCTCATCCCGCTACTGTCGTCGTTTGATAGCCTTGTGCTGAAAAATTTTGAGATATGCAGTGAAAGAAATACAAGAAACGACGAATACGAGGACTTGATCATTTACCTTAGATTTCATTTTCAACTTCTGCCCTTTCTTCCGTAACAAGCGCGACTTCTTTCCTTTAGGCCCTCCTGATTGACTATTTTTCCTGCAAGATTGAGAGATTCACAAAAGGAATGTATAGGACGAGAACTCACCTTTTCTTACCAGTAGAGAGGGCTTCACCGGATTCGTCGCGCATCATATAGTTGCCAAAGTTGAATAGATCATCGATAGCATTGTCACGATTCATAAGTCGTTCTCGCTTCTTCTCAGCTTTGCTCATTCGCAAACGGATGAAGTTGTCTTCCTCGTATCTCTCTCTTTCTTTATCTGCCTCAAACTTCCTTCGACTCTTTTCCTAAAAATTTAATGATACAAAACTGCTGAATGCGGTGGACGCATCGCTAGTCAGCAGTAGCTACTTACTCGGAACTCTTCTGGAGCATCACTATATTGCTGTCGAAGCTCCTGCACAAGACTGCTTTGTAGAGCGCGCCGCTTGGCTCTCTCCATTGCCTTAGTCTCTTTCTCGTTCTCTTCCTCTACAGAATTTAAGAGATTAATCCCTCATACTTTTGATGAAAACTGTATATGCAAAAGAAGCAAAAAAAATTAAAAAGTGGCGATAAAACGCTTACCTTCATATCTCACTGCCACCATTTTCGGCGGGACATACTTTTTCTCCTTCTTTTTAGGTTGATTTTCACCTTCTTCCTCTTCGTCTGACTCCGCTTCATCATCGTCAAACTAGAATTTAACATGCATTCTTAGATAATGCACATTAGTGAAAGAATTACAGAGAAGGTCCACTGATCTTAGCTTCAAAAACTTGAAAAGTATAATCACCTCCATTTGCTCAGGTCGTGCTCGCAAGGTTTGTTTTGCTTCATGGTTCAAGCCAGTCTACAACACTGTGCATTACGACCCACAGAAAAGCTTGAAGCATTCCATACCTGCGATAGCTTATCAATCTGAGACTTCATCTTCTGCTCTATAGGTCGCAATCGCTCCAGAATCTGAATAAGAGGGCGTGTAATTACAAATCAAATTTTGCGTGAAACCAATGCTTGTGAACTTACTGTTCTATGCTTGGAAGCTCTGAACACTGCAGGATGTTCCTTTATCGATTTCCCACAGCTCATATGGCTCATTAATAACGATAACTCTGCCATGTAACTAATCATTTCTCGATTTTTGACATCTAGCAAGCTGATACCCTACAAAAAACATTGTACACAGTTTGCTGAAATTGAACTGATGTGGGTTGATAAGTACAGACACAACTTGCAAGAGAGAAAAAGGCAAAGAACGATTAAACGGCTTGCAAAGCTAGTTAACTTAACCAAAAGCTGCACCCTGCTGCAATGTTACAGGAGCCCACGATAGATTGATAACATCGCATAAAATCTTCTTTGTAAGTAAGATAAACGATAATCGACTTTTCGAGAATAAACCCAAGAGTGATGTAGTAAGAGCGACGCAATAAAGAAGGGATTCGGCTCACCTCAATCTGTTTTCCTGAATCCTTGAGATTTTTCAAAGCTGCAACAAATTTCTCAACATTTTCGGCTGCTTCACTTGAGGTTTTCGCGCAATCGCGAGCCACTGCCGCGAATTTGACGGCCTTTTCCTCATCAACCATAACCTGTTTCAACAAATTTAGTATCGGAAAGTTCAGATCATCTAAGCAACGGGACTAGCTTCCTATATGTACCCGAAAAAAGGAAAAACGAGGATGAAATTTCATTCTTATAAGTCATATAACAAGATTTTCTTTTCTATATACATATAAGAACTATATAAAATCACAGCACGAAGCTAATACCCGTATGTCAATGTACAGTGAAGACTGTGAGATTCTAAAGATAATTGATTCCAACAAAATATCACTGGGGATTCGAAGTAGATGGGGCATCAGCCTGCTTCCGATTGCCATTTGCATAGGCAACAAACATCTCCTTCAGGAACGACAACTCTTTTTGTAAGGATTCAACCTTGAAAGTTAATAAGATTCTCCTCCAAAGGTTTTAAAAAAAGTAGTGCCACACCAATTATTCACCTGTCGCTCTAACTTCTCATTTTCTTCTCGGAGTTCTTCTACTTTACGAGCTGTCTCGGATTCTTCTTGCCTCTTTTTCTCACGTGTTCTGAATGTTTTTTTTAAGTTGCACAACAGAAAGATCTCTTGAGACGTTCTGGTATAGGTTTCCGGGCAATTGAGATGAGACAGGGAGCTGGCTCTCTAACAATAAGTCAGGAAGGGTGATAAATACAATGAATCAACACCTTCTACTATTTAGAAGAGCTAGTGCAATGAAAAAATCGAAGCAGTATATAAAATCGTAAAAAAGGAAGAATTTGCATAAAGGGGAAAGAAAATTACAAAAAAGAATGAGCCCAATAAAATCCACTTACCGGTTCACAGCTTCGTTATTTCTTCGCCTCTTTTCAACGTAGGCTTCGTCTCTTTCAGCAGCAGCACTTTGTGCGACGTTTCTTTTACGGCCAGTCATTGTGATTATAGCTGTAAAAACAATAATGCATAGTGAAGTACCTTTGAAATGATTAGATCCAATAGCAAAATACGACAAAAACCAGATAATTTCTCAGTGGATAGACTTACAATGCACAGGCAAACGCCAAAATGGATGAAATGAATTTTGCAGATACAGCAAATTACCAAAATCATAAGATAATGAATTGGGATGTCCACGAAAAGCAGTAAACTAACACTGCTACTCTGATAAAAGCTGTAAATTCCCATCGCGGAAGCGATAACCTGACGCAGTATAATTACAGCGGCTGCGCGAAGCTTTCGCGATAGAGCACACCAGTCTTCTGAGAAATGAGCGCAGCTCTTGAAATTGCTTCTGATCAGGGTTTTGCAACAGCAACAAAATCAAGTATTGCAGATCTTTCCAAAATCTATTTTCTCCAACTGCAACATAGTCACAGGCTGCGGTTGTGAACATCCATGCAAGATAATGAAAAGTGCAATCTTCTTACTAAGTATTGCAGAACCCTGCACGGTATTGTTTACCTGGACATAATTGCAGCTCACATCAATCCAAAGCAAAGTTTCAAGAATTTCTGAGATGTTCAACTTTCACCATAAAGCTACCGTATCCTCATTCCCAAATACGGAATGGTAGTTATTTTTGCAGCTTTCTCTTGACTGAACGATAAAACAAAAAAATAACAAGCTCTTTGAGGACTTATCTGCAAGCTTTTTAGCGGTGCGTGCATTTTCATCGATTTTTTTTGTCAAAAAAGCGGACTTATCTGTAAGATTTTAGGGTAGATGTACTCAGGGTGATGTCATATCCCTCAGGAAAAAAATCTAAACAAAAATTATATTTGAAGTGCTTTTTTACAAAACAATATTTTGTCTGATTAAAGTCGTAGATGAATTGCACGGTGTTGTTTATCGTAAACGCTTCTGGACATAATTGCAGCTTATAATTTCTACTTCATTTGATTGAGAAATAATTATTTATCAGCATCTAACTGATCTTTGCTTGTTTCACCTAACATACGCTTAATTCATTATCATATTTTGACAAAACCCACAACATAAATGGATAATCTTATGACTTTCAAAGCTTTAATAGGTACAAATGTACCCTCTGAGGGCGTTCTATATTTCATAAAACATCTGCGTATAGGTATAAAGACCTATAAACGATATTGCATCGTTTAGCTTTCAGGTTTTTCCATGATTGAGATGACAGATTTTCCTAGGTCATAAGTTGTATGCACTATCGGAAAGTGCAACTGAGTGCTAATTATGGCGGTTGATGCTACTGTGGTGCTTGTCGTGAGCTGGCTGTTTTATGTCATAGCTCTGACTATAGCCACTTATTTCTGGAACATTTATAGTGTCTAAAGGGTTTTTGTATGTGGCTATAACGTTTTGGCAAAAGCCTTGTTTCATTAGCAGCTTTAAGTAGCTGCTTTATAACTGAAACAAATAATTCTGAGAAGTCTTGAAACGGAGCACGAGTAATATCGATACATCACATTATTTAAACTCTCATTTTTCCATTCTGATTAGATCTGCCACAAAGCCTGACATGACTGACGAACTAAATATTGAATCTTATAAATTAACATTGAGTACGACTTGTTTTTTTAAGTACTATTGTGTAAAATTTATGCTTATATTCTAGCCGTAGAGTATTTTAGACAACTTTGTGTCAAAAGTCAAAAGTCAAAATGTGGGGTTTTTCCTAACAAAGATTACTCCCACTTTGTAGAAAATGTAATATTATCTGCCAATTGTAAGACTCCTTTCCAACCAATATGTTCATTGAAAAGCTCATGTAATAAGTCTGACGATCACTTCTGCTCTAACATATAAGATTTTGTAAAGGTAATCTAATATCAGTGACTAGTTATCTTATTTTTTTGGATCCATGAAAGCTTACTTCTCCTTCTTCCACACCTTATTAGCCAGCATGAGTAGATGACCTATGCTTTCTGATTTGTTTTTGACTAGTCTTGAAATTGGAGATGAGATTTTGCTAATCTTTTTTGCCATCTCCGGATTAACATGACATGTTGCCTATAATTAATTGGTTTTCAAAACGCTGAACAGTAGCTTCTCGGAACTTTGATAGGTGAAAAGTATTCTTTCCTGAAATATGATTTTCAGTTTGCCTGACTGGCTCAAAGACGACGATTAAAGGCAGGAAGGAAATTTCAAGATGTCAAGATTTGCTGCAGATGTTGAAAATCTATATTTTATGAAGTCATATTATTTTATGAAAAAGAAAAATTTACATGTTTAAATCAATTTAACGAGCTGGATAATTGCCTCAAATTATTAGGTTCTTCTAGCAGGCGATTTTTTTGTATAAATACATACATAACGTAGTTTGTAATTTATAGCACAAAAGTTTGAACTGCACACTCGCAAAAGCAACTAACTTTAGTCTTAACTGACAACTTTCAGAATTTTTCTTTATATATTTCTCTTTCTCTGGTCTAAAAATATTAGCATTGTGCAGTCAGAGTTCGAAGAGTCCTGCCGTCGTTAGGCTGTTCGTCGCTTCTCGTTTCCGTAGTTACCATTGGATTCTATACAATTTACGTCGTAGCGAATAGTTTTTCCGTACTTTCTCGTATTTCATGTCTTCCACGTCATTCTATAAGTGCGCTTTCATATTTGCTGGTACTGAAAGTTCGTTTCAGACTAAATGAAGTTGAGGCTAGTAACCTGCAAATTCTGCGATCGACTTTATTCATGTCACTCGCTGCCTTTGCATGAGCCTAAATGCCAGGAAAATCCAAATGCTCGAATTCACACCGAGGAAGTTGGCACGAAGAAATTGAAATCTACTCGACCTAGAACGCAGTCGTTGTCACGATCTGATGGAGGTAGGTATGCATAATTTGTCAGTTTTCTGTAGCAAGTGAAAAACCAAAAAATCTGATGTTTGTATTTTCGCCCATCACAATGTAGAGATTCAAAAGTTTACGGCCCTTCTCGGAATTTCTAAGAAGTAAAGAGATGTATGCATTTTTCATTAGTAAATTTAAACAAACATTCGAATCCTCTTTTCTCCAGACTTGTATAACGGAATTCAGAACATACAGGGTGTCCCAAAAAAATGTGAACACTGTTTGATTGTCAATAACTTTCTTGCTTTCATGTCTTTCGCCGAGCTTGAGGCGCCATTCTGTAGAACGAGGTGAAACTTAGATTTTCGGCATGGAAGGAATTTCCGAGCTTTCTTCGTTACTGTAGAACTACGGTATAAACTTTCAGCATATTGCGTCACTGTGGAATAGGCCTTTTATTGGAAGAAATTCCAAAAAATCTGGAAATCTGTGTAGTGAGGTTTTTAGGCGTGCTGGTTCCAGTACACAACTTTTCACCAGTTTTTGAGCTAGTTTAATGGTGTAATCGGACTCCTGATGAACACTGGGAAAACAAATGTTACCCTAAACAGGGCTCGGCACGAGGTGGCTTACAAGCAAGCTGGATATCGTTTTTGGGACGAAAAGCAAAGGGGGTTTCGTTTTTGTGACCGAAGAGACACGGAAAATTGGCGACGGCGACCTTTTTTTTTTAGTCGACGTTTCGTTTTTTGGGGGATTTTGGGGAATTTTTCAGGTTTTTAGAGGAAATTTGGTTGAGGGTCAAAGGGGACTTCGTAAAAATTCCCAAAAGTCAAAGGGGACTTCGTTTTTTCCATTTTCATCTAGCCACCTCGTGCCGAGCCCTGACCCTAAAACAAGATAACTTATGAAGGAAGCGTCACAGTAAAGTGCAAATTTCACGTACAGAATCGGCAACTTCGATTAGTCCAGTACAAGAGTTTCTGCCTTGTTTGGCTTTCTTCCTGAGGCAAAAATCGCTTTCACTTTCCTAAAATCCTTCTCAAATTTTGTACCGTAATCCTACAGTAACGAATAAAGATCGAAAATTCTTTCCACGCTGCAAATCTAAGTTGAACCTCGCTCTACAAAATGGCTCCTCAAGCTCGGCGAAAGACTTGAAAGCAAGAGAATTATTAATGATCAAACAGTGTTCACATTTTTTTGGGACACCCTGTATATGCAGAAAATCAAAATATTGTCGTAAAGTATGTAAGTTAGACAAATGATTTCTTACAATCAGCTAAAATTTCTATTTTTTGCTTTTAAAAATTACAAAATTTTTGCTCAATTTTTCCAAATAATAAAACCGGTTGATCTTCAACGATTTTTTGCGTATTTTCAAATCTAGTTTTAAGGAACTGGTAGATACTAGAAGAAGAAAAAACTATTTTGTTTTTGGGAAAGTTCGTATGGGCATACTAATTCGCAAAATTTTTTTAGAGTAACAAATGAGCCTGCAAAAGTTGTCGCTGTACATTCAGATGCCTGTTAATAATCGCTATATCTTATGTATAAAGCTGAATGTCTGTTTGTATGTATGTATGTCTGTATGTATGTCTGTATGTAGGTATGTTCCGAATAGAAAATTTTATTTCTGAACCGATCCGGACCAAACTTTGCACACATACACTTCGCGGCCGGGCGGCTGTCAGAGGTTACTTTTGGTCATTGATCGATTAGTTCGAGCTACGGGGCTGGGAATTGGCACAGGGGGTAAATGAGCTTGCTGTTTACGAATATATTATTGAAAGGGCCGGGCGGAGCTGGGTTTGCCTGCTAGTATCTTATTAATTCTTAGATTGTTTTCAAAAACTTTATCCTTTTAGTTGAATACCGGATCTGCTTCGTATGTGGTAAGAGTTTCGATGAGGACGAAGTGGCCAAACATGAACGACGCTGTCTCAAAGGTATAGTTATTAATTGTAATTTAATATGTGAGTCTGCACAATGCGCGCACTACTTTACGAATGTGTGGTGGCAAATACTAGAAGAACTTCTTTGAATAGACAAGCACTTAGCAAATAAATATAAACATTATTCAAAACCATTTGAGCAAGATAACTAATAAGATTAAACATTTCATTCAACTTGTAAGCACATAAGCCGTCAGATACAGGGCATGTCGTGTATTCAAGTTCAGTTATAAATGACTTGAGCATAGGGCATTGTTCAAAGTTGTTTGTGCCAGCGCCTGCTAATGCCATCACCTCGATCGATTGGTGGACATGTGCATGTAAAATCCGGCATGGTGCAGGCACGGCGTTGGAACGTCGCTGACACAAGGCCGGCACGCGGGCATCTCTGGACGCTGCCTAATTCAACAGGTGCTCATTTAGGCGCAGCATCAACCAATTTTGTTCAGATTACAAGCAAGAATGCGAACGACTCGACAAGCGATTCGTGTCAAGACCACCTGAACCGTTGACGATTCCTACTGTGGATGGAACTTACGATGCACATCGGCTCAACGAGCATGCAAAACAACAAGCGGAAAAAGCACAGCTGCTTCGATGTCGAAAATGCTACGCAAAGGTGGCGTTGAGGGAGGCTGATGATCATAATTGTGGTAGATTTGATCCTCCTGTTGAGTTTTACTTCTAAAAAATCTTTGTCTCAAGCGCAAATAGGTACAAATGGTATTTTAGAGACCCAAAAAATTCGTGCTTTTTGATTGGAGAAAAATTATAGATTCAGATAGACACCGATCTCTTTCCCGTTAGTTTGCTTCATAGATTACTTTTTTCTAGTTTCGTGGCCTTTGCTTTATCTTTACAGGCTGCTGCATAACGAAAGCGCAATAACTTCGGGTGCGAAAGCGGCTTTATTAGCCGCAAAGCGCATTAGACGCAGGATTCACAACGGTGAAGATACGCGCGCGCCGCGTTCGCGCCCGCTCAAGCAATACTGCTTCTGCACCTTCGTCACGCAGTAGCCTTCAAACGCTATATTTATATAGGATACTAAAGTCGCTAGATTACTTGCATCAGTCACATACTTTCTACATATTGCTCTTGTACAATGAACTTGCTCATAAGCTTACAATATCCAAAATAACCCAGCATTCAGTTGCTTTCAATCAATAAATATTTATCAAATTCGTGGTTGCATGTATGTATAAACAAGATGTATATACAATATATGTATAATAAGAGGTTGCTCATCCTTGCGTTGTAGATGATGATTTTGGTTCGGCGCATAAGTCAAGGCACGTTCTTACACCGTTTTACTCGTTCTGATTCTGAAAAAAATATTTTTGAGTTTGGCTCTTGTTACTGTTCTCCTTGTGAAATACTGTTAGATAAAGAAGCGTAAAGCTACATACAGAGTTGCAAGTGCTAGCGCCGTGCCAGTGATGTTCCACAGACGTGCCGGCGCCGTATCGAAACGTCTATCGATCAATACAAAAGACTGGAACGGCGCTGGCACGGCGCCAATACACTGTCAACTCTGGTGCTGCCTAAAGATTTCATGGTGAGACTTTGCATAAGGAAAAGGGGGTCCGTTTAAATTTTTAACTAAAAACTGCGGAAATTTTCGTAGAGATCAAATTCTTTTTGATTTTTTACTAGTGGCAAGACATATTGATTTTTTTCGATTTTTTAGTAGCAAGATCTTCTATTGCTTTTTGTTGATTTGTATGACGAGCCTGTTGTGTACTTGGTTTGCTAATTTTTTAGCAATATATGAGCGACCAACATAATTAAGATGGATTATGACATACCCAAAGCGCAATTCATCAAAATTTGATTGAAAATTTGTTTTCACATCAATCTTATATATAAAGCTGAATGTCTGTTTGTCTGTCTGTATGTATGTATGTATGTATGTACGTATGTTCCGAATAGAAAATTCCATTTCTGAACCGATCCGGAGCAAACTTGGCACACATACCCTTCGGGGCCGGGCGGGTGTCATAGGCTACTTTTCGTCATCGATCGATATCGATTTTATCGATTTTTATCGATTTTTTTGCTGAGTTCACCTACGGAGCTGGGAGTTGGCACAGGGGGGTAATCGAGCATGGGGATTCCGAATACAATATTGGTTTTCAGGATTATCGATTACTTTTATCGATTTTATCGATTTTTTTGCAAAGTTTGAGCTACGGGGCTGGGAGTTGGCACAGGAGGGTAATCGAGCATGGGGATTCCGAATACAATATTGGTTTTCAGGATTATCGATTACTTTTATCGATTTTATCGATTTTTTGCAAAGTTTGAGCTAGGGGGCTGAGAGTTGGCACAGGGGGGTAATCGAGCATGGGTATTCCGAATACAATATTGGTTTTCGGGATTATCGATTACTTTTATCGATTTTATCGATTTTTTGCAAAGTTTGAGCTAGGGGGCTGAGAGTTGGCACAGGGGGGTAATCGAGCATGGGGATTCCGAATACAATATTGGTTTTCAGGATTATCGATTACTTTTATCGATTTTATCGATTTTTTTGCAAAGTTTGAGCTAGGGGGCTGAGAGTTGGCACAGGGGGGTAATCGAGCATGGGTATTCCGAATACAATATTGGTTTTCGGGATTATCGATTACTTTTATCGATTTTATCGATTTTTTGCAAAGTTTGAGCTAGGGGGCTGAGAGTTGGCACAGGGGGGTAATCGAGCATGCTGATCATCCCCAAGGGGGGTGATCAGCATGCTCGATTACACCCCTGTGCCAAATTCCAGTCCCGTAGCTCAAATTTTCAAAAAATCGATAAAATAGATAAAAGTAATGGACGATCTTGAAAACTAATATTGTATTCGTAATCTGCATGCTCGATTACCCCCCTGTGCAAACTCCCAGCCCCGCAGGTCAAACTTTACAAAAAAATTCCGATAAAATCGATAAAAGTAATGGACGATCCTGAAAACTAATATTGTGTTCGTAATCAGCATGCTCGATTACCCCCCTGTGCAAAATCCCAGCCTCGCATGTCAAAATTTACAAAAAATCGATAAAATCAATAAAAGTAATCGATAATTCTGAAAACTAATATTGTATTCGGAATCCCCATGCTCACTTCTCCCCCTGTGCCAACTCCTAGCCCTGTAGGTGAACTCTGCAAAAAAATCGATAAAAATCGGTAAAATCGACATCGATCGATAACGAAAAGTGGACTGTGACACCCGCCGGGGCCCGAAGTGTATGTGTGCCAAGTTTGGTCCGGATACGGCGGAGCCGGGTAAGCCAGCTAGTCAACTATAATGTTGCTGTCAGAATTGCCAAGAGCCGTCATGAGACCGTTTTGCTTCATTTTTTGATTGAAAAATGGGCGATTTTGATATTTCGAACTAACCATTGTCAAACATAGAACTCATTTCCTCCTGGAGGTACCTGTTGGCTCATCACCGCCTTCGACACCTCGTATGATGATGAACTCCGTCGACATATCAAAACACAGCAAAAGAACAAAACTGTTGCTACGCATACAGCGGCTCCGATGGCAGCTAACCACTGCCAGAGGATCATACCTGGAAAAAATAATTAAATTTTGCAAATTCATCTGCTGACGAAGGCGACAAGTATTATACGAATATGGTAATTGAAAGGAAAAGAGAAATTGAGTTTCCTAAAATTACGATTTCTTAATAATCTACAACACCTTCTACTTGCATTAGAGAAGGACAACATTATGTTCTTCAATAAAATTGCCAGAAAGTGTCGAAGGATTACGAAAGTGATGTTGGCATATAAATAGTCATAATCGTAAAAAAAGTTTACGATTACGAACGACGATCACTGTAGACAATAAAATTGCGTGAAGATCCTGAGAACAATTCCAACAGGTAGATTATAAATTGACGTTTCAGTTGACAGAAATTGTAAAATACAGTTTTTGGATTTGGATAAGACAACTAAAATTGTAGAAAACCCAAAAAAATCTCAATGCTTTATCAAGTTTAATGTGGTTTTGAGTCTTTTATCCTTATCACGAGTAAAGATAAAAATCGTCTACACTACCTGGAAGAAATGAATGACATGAAGTCTAAAACCATCAGGAGTTCATCCTGAAGAAAATTGGCGAGAATATCAGGAGTAAAGAGAGACATTTTGAGATTTAGTGAAAAAAATTAATTCCAATTTTTGCAGACCTTTTGTTTACTGCTAATTTTTACCAAATCAACCCAGCTGAATTTTTAATCCTTCGTACCTGCTTGAGCTTACTGTGGGTTTTGTATTTGAGAGTATGTTGAAAAAAAATGTACGTAGTGTTTGTTGTTGGTTTTCAAAAAGACCTGCTGGCAGAACTATAAAATCAACTTTAACATTCATAACTATTTCATTACAAAAATCTTACGGCATGAGCTGTGTATGAACTAACACCGATAAAATGATGTTAATTTATTAAACGACATTACATGGTATATGGGAAACAACTAATTGATGATATATTTATGGGCGTCATTTCCCCTCTGCCCGCCTCCCTTCATCCATCTCAGCCTTTAGTACGTCAACACATGACGTTAATGATGGACGGAATAGGATGTGAATCGCTGGCCCTCGAGCAATTTTATTTGGTTTGGGCAGAATGAACTAGATTCTATTTGAGCATATAGTTTGGATAATTTAGCAAGTGCATGCAGAACGGTTATTCTAAAATAACATGAAGTTTTTTCGCAAGGCTAAAATTTGGCTCACTAGCGGCACTAATGAAGAAGGATAGAAAATCGATAAGTTTTTCTGCAAATTCTTGGACAAATACTTTTCCAGCTTCTCACAGTGAAGTTTTTTGCTCGCTTTCTCAAATAATCTCTTGAGTTGTTCAAACATAAGTTTCCTTCAACTTGAAAACAAAGCCACTTTTCTTGAAATTTTTTTCTCTACTTTCGAATTAAAAAATACATAATGTTTTGAGTTGTCCTAGTAATTTTACTTTTCACCCAGTGACTCCCATTTCTTCCTTAAGTTAGCCTTGGGATGCCTTTCGATAGAGCAAAACAAGCTCTACAAAGTAGTGCAAAAGTCCATTCCACATTTAATTTGGAATCAAATCTAAAAACTTCTAAAAGCCCAAAATTCGAGAAAAGAATGACTCTCCCTAAAATAGTTCTAGAAACCTCTAAATTGATCAAGCATATTCAATTCTCATTCCAAACTCATACAGTGCTGGCCAAAACTATAGATCCACTATAAAAAACTGCCGTAGTTCATCTGCTTCTCAACGAATTGATCTGAGATTTGGTACAGTTGTGTGTTCAACAGGCTTTCATCAGTGACCGGAGCGGATTCCGCTTTCGTTAGATTATTCAGGAAAAAAATTAAAAATTTCGAAAAAAGCAGGCTCGAAGGCTGGCCAAAACTATAGATCCACCTAAAATTTCTGTCTGCTAACGTGACTCTTAGCTTCCAAAATCTTTTGTGCATAAACCTAGTCGAAAGTCAAAGCAGTGGGTTTAGTTTAGCTGCGTCATACCTTTATAAGAAACTCTTATCTGCTTTTTTCCACTCAAAAACTGCTCTCATGCGTATTTTGTTCCCGAAAATGTGTTTTTGTAGAGGGTTCCGCACTTTTTTGACTGGTTTGAAAGTGGTAGGGCTCCATCTATCTTATAGATGCTTAGCAGCGTGAGCAGTAGAAAAAAATTCGGGTTTTCGTATCCAAAGCGCACCTGACACAGACATAACCGTAGGCCTGCGCTCGAATTTTTGCCTTCAAAATTGGTATCCGCTATTTTTATAAGCTCAAAATAATGTAGAAGCATTATTTAGCATTATTCACCTAAAAAGAAGTTTGTAAACTATAGTTACAATTGCTTGCGAAGTCGCACTTTAATTCTTTTTCAAAGCATAAGTCTTGCGGTGTGTTCGGCAATCTCAAAGTACTTACCAACTGGTACCTTCTTTGAATTTTGCCACTTTTTAGCTGCTAACTATTGAATACACCCTGCAATATGTGTTGTCTTGTGATTCACATGAGCATTATGGTCAGAAGCAGAAATAACTTCAAGGCTTGTTGCAAATCACTTTTTGCAGGAGGAAGTCCTCAATTAGCTTGCATACTAGGATCTGCAGAAACCTGCAACCACTGCACACGGACTCTCATACATACCAACAATGTAACTACTCCAGTTCACGCTCATGACAACGTTGCAGAAAGAGCATGAAGGCAAAAATTCGAGCGCAGGCCTACGGTTATGTCTGTGTCAGGTGCGCTTTGGATACGAAAACCCGAATTTTTTTCTACTGCTCACGCTGCTAAGCATCTATAAGATAGATGGAGCCCTATCACTTTCAAACCAGTCAAAAAAGTGCGGGATCCTCTACAAAAACACATATTCGGGAACAAAATACGCATGAGAGCAGTTTTTGAGTGGAAAAAAGCAGATAAGAGTTTCTTATAAAGGTATGACGCAGCTAAACTAAACCCACTGCTTTGACTTTCGACTAGGTTTATGCACAAAAGATTTTGGAAGCTAAGAGTCACGTTAGCAGACAAAAAATTTAGGTAAATCTATAGTTTTGGCCAGCCTTCGAGCCTGCTTTTTTCGAAATTTTTAATTTTTTTCCTGAATAATCTAACGAAAGCGGAATCCGCTCCGGTCACTGATGAATGCCTGTTGAACACACAACTGTACCAAATCTCAGATCAATTCGTTGAGAAGCAGATGAACTACGGCAGTTTTTTATAGTGGATCTATAGTTTTGGCCAGCACTGTATTCACACTTGCTGTATATTTTTTCCGGGGCTAGAAATGGAGAAGAATAAATCTGGCCTGTCTGACATCCCAATTTTTGATTTTTGCAGGAATGGGATCAATAAGGCAGGAATGACAATTTGCGTCCTCTATAGAAGAAGGTAACATAAAAGAAGGCGATTGTGTGTGTGTTTTTTATGGGGGGGGGGTCCCTTGCTTTTTACTCCAAAACGATATCCAGCTTGCCTCGTAAGCCACCTGTGCCGAACCCTGTTCATTACTTGTTTTATAGGTAAACGAACACCAGTTTGGTCCACTTCCGCGGACTACTGGTCTTAGAACGACATGCAACAACATTGCAAAAGGACCAGTTGGCAACGCGGTTCAAACTGGCTACGCTCGTCGCTCTACTCGCAATTTTATAGAATGAGCTATAGAGTTACCTGTGAAAGTAGTAAAAACGTATGACCACAAATTTTCTGCCTTTCAAAGTTGGTGGTTTTTGAGAAATGTCAGATTTGACGCCAAATTTTCCAGCAGTTTTTCCGGCATTTGTTGGAGAAAATTTTTTTTAAAATAAAATTCATTGGATTACTTGTTCGAAGCTTTCTTACTTTTTTGCACAAGTTCTGAGACTGGTAAAAAGTAGAATATCATGATCAATTTTCATAAGTATGAAAAATTTTGTATTCTGTTCAGTTGAGAGTTACAGGCGATTCATCGCACGCACGGACTGGACTCGTTGCGCCCCATTGAGATAGTTCGTGCATGGGAGAGACAGCAGACGGCAAAAGGAATGAAAGAGCGGTCGATGCGCGAGACGCCGACAGGGTCCGTTGTGACGCTTAATCTTTGCGTGCGATGAACTGACTATACCTATGTTGTTTTGAAGGATTAAATATTGGCAGAAATGTAGCCACTAACTTTCTAAGATTTTCAAAAACTTTATCAACAAATAATTTGTTCAGTAAACTTATAGAATAGTAGTTGCTCTGAAACAGCATCAAAAACTTTCGGCCGCCGGAATTTCCCACAAATCTACCAAGATCGATGTGTACATTTGCAAATTTTCCCATGGGCACTTCTGAGCTAACAATCTATTGCCTATGACACACATACTTTGCATCTATTACATACCATTACATCTATACGAATCCTCCAAGTATTCGTTGGTAGAATTTCCCATTCGAAAAAAGCGGCAAAAGTGCACATGCCCTAATTTTGTGTGAGAAATGGGACGAGTTATTATCATTCATTACACGCATTGTTTGCACGACTAATATTCGTTTGTAAGTGACGGAAGTGAATGGAGAAAAAAAGGAAAGGACAAAAGGAATAAAAAGAAGGCGAGAAAAATTGGTGAAATTGTTGGTGTAGTGGCAATATTTCGAAATCTGAATTTTTATTTTTTATGATGTTCAAAGATGTTGGGGAGACTTTGAGAAGCTCAAAATTGCAGTAATTTTCAGTAAACGATATTCAAAGTTGGTGGCGGCAAAAGAAGAATCGTCCAAATACACACTATCTCATGTTTCTATGCTTACACTTATTCCCTCATGGCAGAGATAATCAGTTCCAAATTCTTGCCCAATACCGTAATCGAGTCGCTCTGTTAGGAAAATGTGCGGTACTGGGCAAGAGTTGATAAAAATTTCTCGGTTGTAAGCAAATCATATGAGATGTTTCATGGAACAATAACTTAATAAATATCTCCTACAATTTACTATGAAGGAGAAATCCAAAATTTAGATTTGCCTAGACATTGACTAAAAGATCTTGTATATGACAGCATTCTTGTTTGAAACACTCAAAAATTGAAATGTTTACCAATAATC